AGAAAGAGTGCAAAGGAGGGCCACACGAATGATTAGAGGTCTGGAGAACAGACCATATGAAGAGAGGCTGAAGGACATGGGACTGTTTAGCCTGGACAAGAGAAGACTCAGGGGGACTTGGTGGCAGCCTTTAAGTATACAAGGGTCGAACATCAGGGGCTAGGAGAACATCTATTCGCCCAGTGCCAGTTCCAGCTGGCAGCAGCAGCATCCTGTGATCCAGCAGGCAGATTGGGGGCCCGCATCCCTGGGAGGAGTCCAGCAAAGCCCTGCAGCCCTCCCGGGCAGGCCCCCAATCTGCCTGCCAGATGACAGGAGGCTGCTGCTGCCAGCTGGGACTGGCGCTGGGTGCAGCCTGTGCCAAGGACTGAGAAGATTGGTGCTGCCGCTGGTCCTACCTGGCAGTGACAGCATGCTGTCACCCGGTACGCAGATCCAGGGGCCCGCATCCCTAGGAGGGCTGGGGGCTGGGCCAGAATCCTCCCAGGAGGCGCGGCCCCTGGATCTGCGCTGGATGACAGGAGGCTGCTGCTGCCGGCTAGGACTGGTGCTGAAGCCAAGGAAGTCCAGCTTTGAAACTCATAATGTTTCAAAACTTTTGAAATGTTTCAAGTTCCCTTGTTTCGTTTTGAAGCTGTTTCAAAGGCGTTTGTTTCATTTTGATGTGACGGGCTGGCTGGTAGTGACTTAGCCCAGGGGTTTTGAAAAGGCAAAAGATGATTGGAGGACTTGAGATTCCCTTTCCTCACCAATCAGGCCCCAGAGACTCGCCCTCCATGTCCCCTGATTGGCCCTGTGGGTCACCAGGAGGGGGATAAAAAGGAGTAGCGTGGCTGACTCAGGGAGGAGACCAGTGAGGGACCACAAGGAAGGAGCATCAGGGAGCTGGCAAGAGCTGAGCCAGTGAGGTGGGAGCAGTTGCCCCAGAAGTGTCTGAAGGAGTGGGACCTGCAGGTAGCACTGGGGTCCTCAGCAGTACAGCGTGCAGCTGGTAGGAGAGGTTCCCCACTGGGCTCCAGGATCCCCTACGAGAGGCTGTGGCCAGCAGGAGAGGCTCCCCAGCTCCAGCGGGATCTGAGCAGTGACCTGAGAGGTTCCCAGCTCTGCTTCCAGCTCCTCCAATCAGAGGCCAGACAGCTCGATGTGAGGCCGGGGCTCTGGGAAGGTCAAGACCCCTAGCAGCTTTGAGCAGTGCTACCAGTGGTGGCTGTGTGGCAGTGTTTCTATCTACCATGTGGGACATGTGGGTTCAAGTCCTAGCTTTGGTGATTTGGGGTGAGTGAGCTAACAAGGAAAAATTCCTCTTGCAGTGGAAAGGGACCATTGTGTTTTTCCCCTTTCTCCCCCTCCGGGTACCTAGGCCCTATATTCCTTGTAATTTGACATTTTGTATTTTGTGCCTTTTGTATGTCCAGTAATACTAACCAGTATTGTTTGTTCTGCTGTTTGTGTTTTACATTTTGGTGAACCCTGTCTTTTGTCAACTGGATGAGTATGTCTATGATTGTAAGTGTCTAGCCTTTGTTGAATCCTGCCCCTTCGGGGCATTGTAGTGTCCCCTATACCCCCCTGGTTTATACTGGTTATGTTCCCAGTATTGTTCCCTCATTAAAAGGTATATGGTTAAGTCCCCAGTGGTGGTCTGGCTCTGCTCTATAGGGGGAGGAGAGTCCCTACACCTCCCACAGCGCTTGTGCACCTGCTTTGATCCCTTCAATTGGAGAGGGGGTACCTCTTGGAGTACCGCCCGGTTTACATCGATTTTGCTGTTTTGAGGTCAAAATGCATTGAAACAGCTTCAAAACAAAACACCCAATGAAATTTTGCACAGTCCTATGGTCTATCACAGTGCGACTGTTGCTGGGGTCTCCTGGAAACCGGCCCCAGGCACGCTGGCAGGGGCTGCTGGGAAATGGAGCCCAGTTGCTGACCGGACCCACCATTTTGCCCACCCCTGAACTATAACTTTTTTTGTTTAAGTCACCTATTACAGAAAAGCCCAATATAAGCAACCTCCAAATAAAACAAGCCCAAAAAATTGCAACCCGTGACTAAAAAAACGTAAGCAACTTTTTAAAACAAGCCCAATTCCACTTATAAGAAGTGGATGTGGCAACCTTGGCTCAAGTGTGCTACATTTCTGTAGTTGTATGAGTTACCCTGAGGTCTTCAGTACAGATCAGCAAGTTAGGAGTACTCTATTGGAATTGCTCCTGATTTTCTAACAGCTCTT